GGTGGCCTGTGGCTGGGGTTGGGGCAGGGTGGTCTGTGGCTGGGAGGGGGAGTGCTGGCCAGCTCCTCTGTTAATCCCCAGCCTGGGCATGTGGCCTGGCAGCCAGGCCCATGACAAGCCCACGGGGGCTGGGGCGGGAGCCAGGGTTGGAGGGGGGAATATGAGTCTTGGGAGGTGGGGGTGAACCCTTCTCATGGCTCTGGTACAACCGCGCCAGCACCAGCCCAAGGCCAAGGGCCTCCCAGCCGTGGGCCCAGCCTGGGAAGCCCAGGAGTTGATGGTCTCTGGTTCCACTGGAGCTCAGAGCTGCTTCCCCACTGCCGGCTGGCTCTGGGCTTTCAACATGTATCCCTAGTCCACCGGAATCCACTAATGTGTGTGTGTGTGTGTGTGTGTGTGGTCTTTGGAAAAATTAAATGCAGTGTTTCCTGTTTCCTGTGGCTGTGGCCCTGGCGGTCACCTCACCCCTGGGCCTCCACCTGGACATAGGCTAGCTTCTCGTTAGGCTGTGCTGACCTTGGTGCTGGAGTGGGGCTCTGAGGTTCAGCTGCACACAGGGTGGACTCTCGCATGGACACTGCGGGGTCCGGGGGCTCCCCAGAGGCTGAGGTCTTTGCTACATTGCAGGAGGCTGTCTAGAGCCGATGCAGTGCTGCACATGACCCCTCACGTCTGAGATGAGCGTCTGCTCCCGTGAGCTGTGAGCACTCGGGGGGCCTGGTACCCCAGTCCTTCCCCAGGACTCATGGTCTGCAGCCATCCTTGGAGCGTGCCTCTAGCTTCAGGCTGCGACCTCTGCTCTCTGCCAGATAGCATCCGCGCCGGAGACCAAGCATGGCTGCAGCTGCAGTGTGGGTCCACGCTCTGCCACCCTGCCGGAACAGCTTTCCAGAACAGCCCGCCCTCTCCATGTTCCTCATTCCAGAACAGCCCGCCCTCTCCATGTCCCGCATTCCAGAACAGCCCGTCCTCCAGGTCCCACATTCCAGAACAGCCCGCCCTCTCCATGTCCCTCATTCCAGAACAGCTCGCCCTCTCCATGTCCCGCATTCCAGAACAGCCCGCCCTCTCCATGTCCCTCATTCCAGAACAGCCCGCCCTCTCCATGTCCCTCATTCCAGCCCGCCCTCTCCATGTCCTGCATTCCAGAACAGCCCACCCTCTCCATGTCCTGCATTCCAGAACAGCCCGCCCTCTCCATGTCCCTCATTCCAGAACAGCCCGCCCTCTCCATGTCCCTCATTCCAGAACAGCCCGCCCTCTCCATGTCCTGCATTTCAGAACAGCCCGCGCTCTCCATGTCCTGCATTTCAGAACAGCCCGCCCTCTCCATGTCCCTCATTCCAGAACAGCCCGCACTCTCCATGTCCTGCATTTCAGAACAGCCCGCCCTCTCCATGTCCTGCATTTCAGAACAGCCCGCCCTCTCCATGTCCTGCATTTCAGAACAGCCCGCGCTCTCCATGTCCCGCACAGGACAGGCTTGCCTCTGTCTCTCACGCTTACCGGCTGAGAGAGGTGAACGGACATGAGGCCGAGGGGGACAGGCTGCCGCTGGGGGCTCCCATCTCTGCGCCCACACTACCCGTGGGGTCCTGAGCTAGCCTCACCTGTGTACGTCATTCAGTTGAAGCCACACTCTGTCACAGGCTGCCCACTGCCTGGGCTGGCGGCCCCGCCTGGTCCCTGCCATCCCCAGCGGGCAGTGTATGTGTGTGTGTGCACAGGTGTGTGTGTGTGTGAGTGTGAGTGTGCATGTGTGGTGACAGGGCCTTTATGGATCTTCCTGGCACGAGACAAAGGTACAAGATCCTGGCAGCTCTGAGCTCAAGAGTGCCAGCCTACCTACCCTACAGCTTCAGTGGTGCTGGGGCTCCATCTCAGAGCCTGCACTTGCTACGTAGGAACTCTTACCAGTTGAGTCAAGCTTCCAGTTCCTTTTGCCCTGGTTATGTCTGAGATAGAATCTTGCTTTTTGTCTGGGCCGGCTTGGGCCACGATCACTCCTATGTAGACCTCTGCTACAGCTGGGAGGACAGGTGTGTCCACCATCTCAGCTGTGAGTTGAGATATGGAGGGAGGGCTGCTTGGTGCTAGCCTCACTCTGAGATCCTCCTTATCTCTTTCTCAAGTAGCTAGGATTGTAGATATGAGGCACTGCACCCAGACTGAAAAAAATAGTACTGGGGAATAAACCCCAGGCCTAACCCATCCTAGACAAGCCACCTTTCAAGGGAGCTATGTCCCAGCTCTTGTATTTGTATTTTGTTTTTGAGACTGGGCCTTGCTAACTTCTCTCTGATGCCCTCCAACCCCTGCCTCGGCCTCCCAGGCAGCTGGGATGACAGGTATGTGCCTCTGTAACTCACGAGGTAAGATTTTAGATTGTGCAGCACAAGCTGCTCGCCACGCCCTGACTGCTACTCAATGCTTCTTTCTGATGGTTGGCGTCTCTGGGACAGCTTGCCACTCCAACCTCTCAGACGAAGGGAGTTGTGGCTGGAGGATCAGATTCTTCTGACATCTGAGGTGTGTGTGTCTCACAGCTGGTGAGGGCAGCCTTCCCATCAAGTCACACAGCTGCAAAGCTGCTGTTGATGTGCTCCCCAGTGCACACCTCCTCTGGTGCAACTCCCTCCAGTGCACACCCTCCAGTGCAAGGTCCTCCAGTGCACACACCCTCCAGTGCACGCACCCTCCAGTGCAAGGCCCTTCAGTGCACACACCCTACAGTGCAAGGCCCTCCAGTGCATGGGCCCCCCAGTGCACACTCCCTCCAGTGCACGCTCCCCCCAGTGCAGTACCCTCCAGTGCACACATCCTCCAGTGCACGTCCTCCAGTGCACAGGCCCTCCAGTGCACATCCTCCAGTGCACATACCCCAGTGCACACACCCTCCAGTGCATGCCCTCCAGTGCAAGGCCCTCCAGTGCACACACCCTCCACTGCATGCCCTCCAATGCACGAGCCCTCCAGTGCGCAGGCCCTCCAGTGCACGTCCTCCAGTGCACGCACCCTTCAGTGCACAGGCCCTCCAGTGCACGTCCTCCAGTGCACATACCCCAGTGCACACACCCTCCACTGCATGCCCTCCAGTGCAAGGACCTCCAGTGCACACCCTCCAGTGCATGCACCCTCCAGTGCACAGGCCCTCCAGTGCACACTCTCTAGTGCACAGGCCCTCCAGTGCACAGTCTTCCAGTGCATGCCCTCCAGTGCACACCCTCCAGTGCAAGGCCCTCCAGTGCACAGGCCCTCCAGTGCACACCCTCCAGTGCATGCACCCTCCAGTGCACAGGCCCTCCAGTGCACACCCTCCAGTGCATAGGCCCTCCAGTGCACACCCTCCAGTGCACAGGCCCTCCAGTGCATGCCCTCCAGTGCACAGACCCTCCAGTGCACACATCCTCCAGTGCACAGGCCCTCCAGTGCATGCCCTCCAGTGCACACACCCTCCACTGCATGTCCTCCAGTGCACACGTCCTCCAGTGCACACACCCTCCACTGCATGCCCTCTAGTGCAAGGCCCTCCAGTGCATGTCCTCCAGTGCACACGCCCTCCAGTGCACACACTCCAGTGCACAGGCCCTCCAGTGCACATACCACAGTGCACACACCCTCCAGTGCACACACCCTCCACTGCATGCTGTCCAGTGCACAGGCCCTCCAGTGCATGTCCTCCAGTGCACAGGCCCTCCAGTGCATGTCCTCCAGTGCACATACCCCAGTGCACACACCCTCCAGTGCACACATCCTCCAGTGCACACAGCCTCCACTGCATGCCCTCCAGTGCACGCCCTCCAGTGCACACATCCTCCAGTGCACACATCCTCCAGTGCATGTCCTCCAGTGCACACCCCTCCACTGCATGCCCTCCAGTGCAAGGCCCTCCAGTGCATGTCCTCCAGTGCACACGCCCTCCAGTGCACAGGCCCTCCAGTGCATGTCCTCCAGTGCACACCCTCCAGTGCACATACTCCAGTGCACAGGCCCTCCAGTGCACACCCTCCAGTGCACACACCCTCCAGTGCACACACCCTCCACTGCATGTCCTCCAGTGCACAGGCCCTCCAGTGCATGTCCTCCAGTGCACGCCCTCCAGTGCACATACCCCAGTGCAAGGCCCTCCAGTGCATGCCCTCCAGTGCACAGGCCCTCCAGTGCATGCCCTCCAGTGCACAGGCCCTCCAGTGCACACCATCCAGTGCACACCCTCCAGTGCACACACCCTCCACTGCATGCCATCCAGTGCAAGGCCCTCCAGTGCATGTCCTCCAGTGCACAGGCCCTCCAGTGCACAGGCCCTCCAGTGCATGTCCTCCAGTGCACACCCTCCAGTGCACACACCCTCCACTGCATGTCCTCCAGTGCACAGGCCCTCCAGTGCATGTCCTCCAGTGCACGCCCTCCAGTGCACATACCCCAGTGCACAGGCCCTCCAGTGCATGCCCTCCAGTGCACAGGCCCTTCAGTGTATGCACCCTCCAGTGCACCACCCTGACATTTTAGGTGCCAGTAAGAAATGCTGTGCCTTTTTCTGGAACAGGGCCAGAGAGAATTGTCTAGTGAGTCCTTGTTTTCACAGCGGAGGCATCCTATCTGTCTGGACACAGAACCCCATGTGTAAGAGCCATTGTTCCAGCCCTGACCCCAGCTTGTGGTGCTGCCCCCAGTGCCCACTGTATTATGAGTGCTCTCAGTGTTGGGTCCTAAGATGTTCAAACCACCCGAGACCTGGAGCTTTGGGATGGCTGGGCCCCAGAAATGAACCCTGGGGCTTGTTCCTCCTTTCAACCCTAGGGTACCACGCACACCACAGAACTGGACTGGGGGCCCTGTGCATCCACACAGCTGTACTGAGGGCTCTGCTGGGTCTTTCTCCCTTCAGCCCACACAGGGGTCCACACGGGGGTAACCCCAGCTTCCTGACTGTGCCCCAGTTTCCTCCACTCCTGGGTCCCACACCTCATGCAGCCCTCATAGCCCACAGCCCACCTCACCTCGCGATCCAGGCCGGCCGCGACTGTCACGATGTCCCCAGTCTCGCTGTTGATGGTGAACATGTTCTGAGACGGGCTCTGTGGCGTCTGGGTCACGATCCTATAGCGCACCATTCCGTTGGCTGTGGTGGCGTCGTCTGCGTCGTTGGCGGTGACGGTCATCACGTAGGTGCCTAGAACAGAGTGAGTGACTCCAGTGCGGGGCCTGGGACATGGGGAGAGGGGCTCCGTGGAGCCCGGGCAGCCTGGGCCTGTGGCCCCTCATGCAACAGGGCAGAGACCCCAGTGAATGTGAGCTCCACATGGGACGAGGCTCTGCCTGGCGGGCAGCTGCAGGGTGCTTCCAAATCACACCCCCCTCATGCCCACCCCATGGGAAGAGTTCTCCTAAGCCCAAGCTTGCTCTCGGGTCACACTCTGACTGAGGTCTGGAGCAGGAAGTGTATCCTGGGTTCCAGAGCCTGGCGTCACAGGTGGGGCCTGCAGCCAGGATGTAATCCCGATGTTGTCCTCGGCCTCTTTTGGACCCTGAGTCCCAGGGATGGTGGCATTAGCGGGTAGATGTTTGCTGAGGAACCATGGGTTTTGCCAGGGCTGTCTCAGAGGAAGCAGCGCGGAGGGGAGCTCTGGTACGATCCAACTCCACTCAGCCCCTGGAACAAGCCACAGCGAAGCTGTCCCCCGGCCGACTTGGGTTAATATAGAGTTAACATATTTTCCTTACCATATGCCCTGTAGATACTCATTTACTTCCTTTTTTTGTCATTTAAAACTCAGAGTCCTGAGTGGCACAGACCCTAGCCCTGCGCCCCAGGATTCTTGGGCAGCAGGGCCTTGTTGTGGTGCAGACCAGAATATGCAGAGCAGACGAGTCCAAGACAGGCCGCTGGCTGTCAGGCCGCGGCCTCTCCCACCACGGCTCATGCTCAAACCCGTATTTCTTACTGAGACAGAATCCACATGTGTGAAGCTGCGTTTCAAAGGTTAACGGTGAGTTCTTAGTGAACTCAAGTCACATGGTTCCACCCAGACCTTTCCTTGCCCAGAAGAAGTCTGTGGCAGTCACTCCCCGCTGCTCCCCCGCAGCACGCTTCTTGGCTCTGTGGACTTTCTGGCCATGTCACGTCACAGAGATCATAGATTGTGTAGCCTCTTTGGCTGACTCCTTTTTTTTTTTTCTTTTTTGGGTCCAGTCATGGGGCCTGAACTCTGGGTCTGGGCGCTGTCCCTCAGCTCTTCAGCTCAAGGCTAGCACTCTACCACTTGAGCCACAGCACCACTTCCGGGTTTTTCTGCTTATGTGGTGCTGAGGAATCGAACCCAGGGCTTCATGCATGCAAGGCAAGCACTCTATCACTGAGCCACCTTCCCAGCCCCATGAGTCAATTTTTTTGAAGTTCATACTTTTTTTTAAATGGCTGAATAGTGTTCCACTGCATGAGGATATTCACTGCACACTTGTTGACTGAGCACAAGTACAGACAAAAACACTGCTTATACACATCACTACTAGGGAGGAAGACAAAACAGACAGGTCCACAACTGAAAACAGGGACAAGCATTTTGTAAAGAATAAAGCATGTATGACTGGGCATGCAGAGCCAGGGCCGAGAGACATGCATGACTGGGCATGCAGGGCCAGGGCCGAGAAGCATGCATGACTAGGCATGCAGAGCCAGGGCTGAGAGACATGCATGACTGGGCATGCAGGGCCAGGGCCGAGAGGCATGCATGACTGGGCATGCAGGGCCAGGGCTGAGAGACATGCATGACTGGGCATGCAGGGCCAGGGCCGAGAGGCATGCATGACTGGGCATGCAGAGCCAGGGCTGAGAGGCATGCATGACTGGCATGCAGAGCCAGGGATGAGAGACATGCATGACTGGCATGAAGGGCCAGGGCCAAGAGACATGCATGACTGGGCATGCAGAGCCAGGGATGAGAGACATGCATGCTTGGGCTGAAAGGCATGCATGACGGCATGCAGAGCCTGGGCTGACAAGGTGGGCTACAGAGAAACAGAAAGGGCTTCTCTGGAGACAGAGAGAAACAGAGGCTGGGAGGGGAGGAGGAGGACTTTGTGCAGAGGGGCATGGCTCTGTGCAGGGTCATGGGAGGCTCTGCATTTTGTTCTGAGACCACAGAGAACGGTACTGTCCGTTCACCAGGGGTGATGTGGTCAAGTTGATGTTTTAAAGACATGTACAGAAAACAGACTAGGCAGTCACAGGTGTTTGGGCTGGGGTGGGGGCAGATGGCAGGGAGCTAATTCATTCACTGGATTTACAGAGACGTGGTTGTAATCAGATGGAGGTGTTGTACCTGGGGACCATCCGGGAGGCATTTGTTCATTCACTCAGTACATCTCTATTAAGTATCTTCTAGGGAAAAAAGAGTGGCTTGAGTGTTTTGGGGCCCTAGGAAAAAGCATCTTCCAACACATCTATGTTCCTTCATGCAAAGGGTTCAGTTTACTATCGACAGAATTTCCCAAGAGGTACTATGCCTTTGAAAGAAATGTAGGAAGTTCTGCTGTTAGCAAAGGTAGATGGACTATGCCGTTTCTCACCAACCTACTCTGGAGGAAAATAGAAACACTGGACTGGAAAAAAATCATTTAATGAAAGGCTGGAGAGAACTCCAAAATCTCATGAATTTGAGGGCCAGAACCCAGGGTTGTCTAACAGCGTCCAGCACCCAGGTCCCTCTGGAAGGATCCAGAACTCAGGCCCTCTGGAAAGATCCAGCACCCAGGCCTCTGGAAGGATCCAGCACCCAGGTCCTCTGGAAGTATCCAGAACCCAGGCCCTCTGGAGGGATCCAGTATCCAGGTTCTCTGGAAAGATCCAGAACCCAGGCCCTCTGGAAGGATCCAGAACCCAGGCCCTCTAGAAGGATCCAGAACCCAGGTCCCCTTTTTTCTCAAGGCATTTGCCCATTATAAGACTGGCTGTGTAGCCAGGCTCCGGTGGCTCACACCTGTCATCCTAGCCACTCAGGAGGCTGAGATCTGAGGATTGTGGTTCAAAGCCAGCCAGGACAGGAAAGTCTGTGAGACTCTTATCTTCAATCAACCACCAGAAAACCGGAAGTGGTGCTGTGGCTCAAGTGGTAGAGAGCTGGCCTTGAGCTGAAGAACTGAGGGACAGTGCCAAGGCCTCGAATTCAAGACCCATGATGGACCAAAAAAAAAAAGAGGTTGGCTGTGGCCAGACGGAATAACTGCATAGGTCTTTCAACAAATTCTCGGAGCAGCAGTAAGAAACCCGGAGCCAGACCTTCAGAGGAAGGGTTTTTGGGTTGGATTGAGGAGTGCCACAGCCCAAGGATGAGAGCTGCCTGGAGAGAAGTCCTCCAAACAGACGCATCTGTAGTGCAGGTGACTTGGGCGGAGGGGACCTGAAAGAATGAATCTGGCTGGTCCGTGGAGGAGTAGCAGCAGCAACCACCTGGCCCCAAGTGATCCATGGTTTCTCACACACAGTGCACGGTATTTAGTAACTGAATGCACAAGAAAAACCTGATCGGAGACGAAGGAAAAACCAGACGTGAAACAGTTCCAGAAGTGAGCGGAACAATTGCATGCAAACTTAAAAATCAACAGCAGCTTACTAGGTTCAGGGAATTTAAAAGGAAAGACAGAAAATGTTGCCAGAAAACTAGAAAGTATTAAAAAAATAGAATGAGAAAACTGCATTTGAAAAATAACTGAAATGAAGACCTTAAATAGACTTACAGTAGGTTAAATGCAACTACGAAGAGAGTTAATGACTTGGAAGACAGACCAAAAGAAAATATCCAGGTCAAAGCAACTGTTGAGATTGTAATTGGTCCCTCACATGTGAAGTTAGCATCCAGAAAAGTCCCCGGGGAGAGCAGGGGCAGGAACCATGTTTGGGAGGTAATGGCTGAAACATTTCAAAACCAAAACAGGGAATCTAGCTGCAGATTTAAGAAGCACGATCGGCAGGATAAGTAAAAATAAACCTAACTTGTCACGTGGTCATACATGGCTACAAGCCAAAGATAAAAATGTTTAACAGCAACGAGAGCTTTGTATTTATTATTTAGAGGCATAGAACCTTTACTGATGCAATAATGAGCTTTCACGCTGCCTTTCGTAGAAGTTCCAGGGGTAGGAAGCCGTGAAGGGATGAGAAGAAGCAACGAGGAGAATGGAGCTGAGCCACGTTTCCAGGCTGAGGCAGTGATCTGTCACCGCAGACCACAGCACAGGACGTGCCCCGCGGGCTTCCCTGGCGGGAGGACGGCCGAGATGTGTGGAACACTGACCTCCCAACCCAGACGCGTCACCCACCGCACATCCGGAGCAGATGAGGGATCAGCAAAAGCAATTTTGCCTTCTGGGGTTTTACAATCCTTACAAAACCCAACAAGCAAGCATATAAACTAAATCCTTACCAAATTTCATGTCTCATGTCAACCTTGTGCATGATTGGAGCTCCAGGATTCTTTCTCCCCTCCCTCCCTCCCTCCTTTCATCCTTCTTTTCTTGAATCCTGGGACTGGAATTCAGACCCTCCTGCTAGCTAGGAAGCAGCTCTACCACTTGAGTTATGCCATTTAGCCTTTCAGTTTTAGTTATTTTCAGGCAGTTATTTTTTATTTCCCCCTCAGGACATGAAAGCATGCTGCGGTACTGCCCTCAAACTTGGCAGATGCCATGAAGAGGCTGGGCACTGTCCAAAGATGAGGTTATACCACAGAGAGAATGCAGACCCACGGCGAGACCGAGCATCCCAAGGAAGGCAAGGCACAGTGGCCAGCCCAGGAAGCCAGCCCACGGTCCACACTAACCAGCACATACCAGACTTGTCCACACTAACCTCCCGTATCCAGCCTTCTCCTAAGTGCTGTCACATTGGCCTGCCTCCCCCCCTCCCTTCCCTCCCTCCCTCCCTCCCTCCCTCCCTTCCTTCCTTCTTTTTTTTTGGGTCCGGTCGTGGGGCCTGAACTCTGGGCCTGGGCGCTGTCCCTCAGCTCTTCAGTTCAAGGCTAGTGCTCTACCAGTTGAGCCACAGCGCCACTTCCGGCTTTTTTCTTTTTGCTTATGTGGTGCTGAGGAATCAAACCCAGGGCCTCAGGCATGCAAGGCAAGCGCTCTACCACTGAGCCACCTTCCCAGCCCCCCTTCCTTCCTTTGTTCCCTTCC